TTCTTCCATTGGAGGTAGACTTTCTTTTTCTCCTGGAGTATCAGCAAAAGTTGTCTGTTCATCCACACCAGTTTTCTTCCCCTTCTGCTCATCTTACAGCAAAGGGGAACAGCCCACTCCTGTGCCTTCAAGACTTCCTTCTTGAGGAATTACCTGCATTCCTGGACTCTTATCCTTCAGGACTGAAACCCAAGGGATTCTCCCTACCAGTGTCCTGAACAGTTCAAAATGTGCCCTCTGGCAGTCCAAAGTAGCAGTCTTGCTGATCCCCCTCCTGACTTCACCAAATAAAGAGAATTATTCATGGTTCTATTCAAGAAATTTCATGGTCACTCTGTCTAAGATGTCTCTCAACCTCTACATCTCCCACCTGTTCTTCTCTGTTTGTGAACAGAGGTCTAGCAGGGCACCTCCCCTGGTAGGATATCTTCCCAGCTACATCAGGAAGTTGTCTTCCACACATTCTAGAAACCTAAAATCTTCAAGAGGTGAATGATATAATCTGATTTTTTAAAAAACTATTTCCGTTTTGCCCCCAATAAAAAGTGTTGCTAGTCTGTTAGAGTACACCTTATGCACTGCTGCTTCTTGCTTTTAAATAGCGCTAGTGTGTACTGTCCTAGGAATTATAAAATAATGGCCTTTACATCAGCTTTTTCCAAAACACCAAATGTCGGATCAGTCATGCTTCAATTAGGGGATGAGAGTCAGCTGTGAGTCCCTGAGGTGTGTCTGTTCAAAGTGGTGCAGTGCACTCAAGGGCAAGTAAAACAATGGGAAATCAGAAGAGTTCAACTACTATGGCTATTTATTCTGCAGCAACTTCAGTCCTAGCCATGGTGATAGTCTTCTAATGCTTTAAATCAAACAGCTGGTATCAGTGGCCTCAAGGTAAGAAATGTTCAACATCTGTCAGTTTCCAGACTTGAAACATTGCAGCAACCCTTCCTGAAGGAAATTTTGCTGTCAATGTACCAGGAATCTCAGTGCTACTGTCATATGCTGTTTTCACTAAGGAACACAAGACTGTCACTTCACAAAACGCTGAACTAAGAGAAATTTTTAAGTAATTTGCAAAATAATGTGGTTATAATATTTTAGAATTCCACAAAACTGCAGCCATAAACTGTTTCATTTTTTAACAGTCTAAAACTACTCCTCACATCTGGCCATGACATGAGAAGTTGTATCACTGTTTACTTCAGTAGGCCGCCTGTCCAAGCTGTGCTTTGCATGCCATTTGGCCAGTGAGAAAGAGCTAAACATGCAAATGTAAGTGGGAATAAACTGAATATCAAACCACCCAAAACATTTAATTTCTAAATGTTCATGGGCTGGCACTTTGGAGCACAAGCTATTCAATGCTCCTGTCTTCTATTGTTAACCAGGTGCTCCTGGTGCCAAGAGAACAAAGTTTTTGGTTGAAAAGTAGCCAACTGAAACATCTGGCACAAGGCACTTCTTATCTATTTACCATTTTCATCTATTTATAAATGACTGTCACATCTCTATAATTGTTGTTGCTCCTTCAGTTCTGTATCTCATATGTCCAGTAGGCAAATTTGACTTCAGAAAAGTCTTGCTGGATTTTACATCTTCATTCACCTCCAGGACAAATAACAGTTTGGAAGGCCACAGTGGATACTGTAATGAAAACCTCGGAAGCCACTGAGTTCTCTGCTGTGCTTAGTCAAAACACACTTGAATTTTAAAATATGAATAATTTTGCTGAAGTCAATGGAATTGCAGTGGGTCATGTCAGAACATGCTTTGCCTGGTGCATACTCCTCTAAAGCATTCTCATCTTCAAAATCTGCTCTTCAGGTTTCCCCTGCAGTGCAGGAGGAGCTGTGAAGATGAAAGAAGCACATTCTTTCCTCACAGTGGAAATTCATTAATAAACCTTCACAATGGATGAGCAGCAGCAGTGAGGGTAGCAACCTTTGAAGATACTGCTTTTGTCCAGGGGGAGCAAAATGTGTTATAAAAAATAAATAAATAAACAAAAAATAAAAAACATAGAATTATATATGTGTTCTTAAAAGAAGAGTCAAAATTATTGGGAATTAACTTTTGAAATAACTGAAATATTCTGTTGTTCAGAAAATCTGCCCACCAGCAACTACAGGAGTGAAATAACTCTGAGTCTTACCTGTGTGTATGCTCTTTGCTGACAGCTGCTTACCACAGCCTGCATCTTGATCCACTGCAAACTGACTGTGGCAGTACGCTTCCATTTCAGGCTTGAAATATTTCTTGATCTAATTTTTGTTTAGTGTGAGCTGAAACATGCTCTGAGACAAGAAAACTGACTTTTGTAGTAGGAAGGAAGATAAACTGCAGTCTTGGCCTCATTTTAGATAAAACTTGATTTGGAACCATTTGCAGCATTAATTTTACATTGGAATGCAAATGAACACAGGCATTCTTTTGTATAAAGTTATTTTAAGTTATATTTACCATCAGATTATATGAACATCTATTTTATTTAATTTTTTATTACTATTACTTTATCTTTGCCTGCACAACCGTCGTGGGAAGAGGTAGGGCTAAAGAAAGCATCCATGTTTACAGGAACCTTATCATCTCGCAACATTTTGCAAATTCTGATGTTTACTTTTGTCTATCTACCTTTTTCTTAGGAAACTGGAGAGAGAAGAAGCAGCAGAACTTCTGTATTTTACGCACAAGAACTTTACTCTCACTACTACTATAAAACAGTAGTGTTCTTCTATCATTATTTTCACCTGGAAAGAAAAACAGTATGTGAAAAGCAAAGAGATTTAATTTCTCCTTCTGAGATTCCTCAATTTCATATTCACTGAAGAGAAAATGAAGGAATAGGTTTTGTTACCAGTTTTCCAGTCATCTGCACCTTTACCAATCTCCATTTCTTTGAGATGTTATAGTTTAAGCTCCATTTTCCACATATTCCTTCACTGACCTAGAGGTGTGGTCCATATCACAGCTGACTCAATACAAAAGTTACTACTACTCAGATACAATTCTTTTCCTTCCAGTGTTTTTCTCTTTTCTCTGTAGTAACAACAACAAAACTTTCTGGAAAAAGTTTAAGAGTTCAGGTTAAGACAAAGAAGCAGCACTGTGAAAGTTCTGTGGCACTGCTGTGAGATGTCAGCAGACCATAGGGACTTCCAGGAGCACTGGGAGAAGGTGGAAGCCTGGGAAGAATCAGCAGAGGATTTTAGATGCTGAATTGCAGACCGAAAGTGGACACCCCAGAGTGTATAGTTCAGAAGTCTTCTGGACAGTTTTGAGGCAGCTGTTAACAATGAAACTTTCTGTCTCCTACTTTTCCTACATTCACGACTGCATTTTGTTCCTGTAAGCAAAATCTAGGCAAACTTTGCTACCCTGTCGAATTTATTTGAGCCTAACTTGTCAATTAGGACAGCTCTGAATAGTTACAGAGGGTTTGCTTATTGACCCTAAATTTTCTCTTTATGCCCTCAGATGTCCCATAATTGGTGGTATACATCTTTTAAAGACAAAAAAAAAAAAAAAGTTCACGTTAACAGTGGGAATATCAAGCACAAAATATCTAAAAGGTTTTCAGACTAGAAAGCTTAAAGCAGGTTCTCAATTTCAGAACAGAATTTTCTCCTTGGAAAGACTGTTTCCTTGAGATGGCTGTCCAGTCTGGGAGGTAACAGAAATGCCTTTTCGAAAGTGTGTAAGATAAGGCAGAAGGACAGTAACATAATCACTTCAAGGTTAAAAAATATAGGTATTTTGAACATATATTGTTATTTTGAATATAGGCTGTTGTATCTCTCCCTGAGTTGGCCACTGGGAAGCATAATGAACCTACAGGGCACATTAGTGGTAATTTAAAGCTGTTGCAAAACACTGTAAAGAGGCTGAGCTGTGGAAGGCTGGAATCAAACTCACTGTAATGGAGGTCCACTCGTGTTCATAGTCTGAGCCTATTCCTGGGACTGTACTGACCCCTAGTGACTACAACTCTAATTAAATAATTTACAGAGCCTCGATATAACAACTATTTCTGCACAAAGTACTGCTGTACAAAGCAGCTTTTGTTGAAAGGTGTCTTCATTAGGAGAAAAATATTTTTTTCTTTTTAAGCAATGTCTACAGGAAGGAAAATTTTACTGTTTTAATTTTACAATAACCCATTTTTATTCTCGTGTGTGCTGACTTGAGACATATTTTGATATATTAATAAATGAACAGCTTAGTTATTATTATCACTGCTGCTAAGATCCTGGGAGTCAGTGGTTTTAATTTATCTGCATAAGTTTATTCAGGAATGCAGATTCAGCCTGGAAACCTTGAAAACTTTTAATAAAATACAGATGGCATCACTGTTCATCTGTTTACTATCTAATATGCTTCACCTACACTACATATCTGATGTGCTTTTAGAAGTACCATCTGGAAAAACATTAGCATATTTTTACATGTATAAAGTGACAGCAACAGATCATTTCTTTTCCCTGAGCCTTTCAACTCAGCAGAGATTAGGTTGAAGCATGTATGGTATGGCAAGTTCAATTCTCCTTCAGTAGCCCTCTGTCTCTGATCTTTGGCATGTTACAGAAGATCTTATTTTCAAGTAATATCAGTTTAAGTCAGTGTGGGGGTTTTGTCATGCTTGTAAAAACACAGAAATCTGTTATTGAGGCCTCACTGCATGAAGTGTTGAATGCCCTCAATTTCCTTTAAGCACAGACATGCGCCCACTCAGGTTTGCTGTGCTGCAGATCACTCAATTCTCAATGAACAGATCTGCTGGTTACAGAGAAGGAGGTAGAAACTGAAGAGAGTAAGGTGTTTTATTGATTTCAGCTACACAGATTTCTGCAAATAACTTTAGATGTGAAAGATTAGTTCATAAAGGCACACTCTTACACTTGTCAACTCTCTGCAGTCAAACCTCAGTGGAATTTATTTTAATCTAATTAATTACAGCACTTTTATTAGCAAAGTAAATATTGTAGATAAAACTCCATACACAATTCATTTTTATTAGATGCATTTATTTCATACTCACAAATATACACAGTGTTTTAAACATACTATAGAAACAACGCTACACATTACAGCACAGCCTGTACTCCAGGTGGCTGACCATTAGACTCCTCTAAACTCTGTCTTTTGGTCACTGGTTGTTTTTATCCAGTAAAAGAAAACAGGGTTAAGACTCATTTCCTTTTATGTTATCTCAGAACTATAATAAATACACAGATTGGCACTGCTCTATTGGTTTAAATACGATTAAGTGAGAGAATCAAGTGGAATATTTATGTTTATAGATGTCATAATGATTTCTCAGATTTGGATGGAAATACATACAGTAATAAACCAACTTACTTCCCATTCACTGTTCATAAATTTGGAGACTGGGAGCTGACTTTGTTACTGCTTCAAATCCAAATTATGTCAGCCATAATGATATTTTTTCTACACCATTCAGTACTCCCAACACATTTCATTAAGTATGAATTTACCAGGGAAGTCTAAAAATGTTGCACTGTCTACTCTGTTATTACTTAATGCTGGAACACTGGGCAACATTGAAATTCTATCCCCATCTGTTCTTTCTAGTAATTTTGGGTAAGTTTGAGGCAAACAGACTGTTACTAATTGCAATAACACCTCAAAATTCCACTTTTTGTACATTGATAAGGAAAATCAATAGTCTTAACACCTGCACAAGCAAACAGTATTAACTGTACTAGACAATAAAATTAAGGTATAGTAAGAACTTTGCTCTGCTACTCAAAACCAAACAAAAAATAAAAATATGAAATTGCAAAAGTTAAATATTGAAATCCTTTTTCACTAAGTGAAAAAAAAAAAAAAAAGAAAAAGAGAACAGACCAGAATAATAATCGAGCCCTGCTCAATTTATTGTCCTGTTAAATATAATACTGTAAACTACAGAGAGATTGAACAATCACTAAATGTAAGATTTACATTTAGATAGAGAAAAAATGAGAATAAAAGTATTTTTCAAGGTATTAAAAAGTATCTGGGCAGAATAGCCCTCCAAATCAAGATTTTAAGATGCCTCAGGCAGACAGAACGTTGCTGCAAGGCACTGTGTGCTACAATTTGAAAATCCAGTATTTAATTAGAGAGAGGGAGACATTTTCAGTACGTTTAGTAATTGATTTTAAAAAGATGTTTCGTGTCTTTTACGTTTTCAGTATCTCAGCTAAAATAGGCAATCTATTCTCAGTTAAGGAAAGCAATGCTCAACTGCAATAATTACAGCATTTTTAACATTCATATTATTAAAAATTACATAAAAGCTATAAACGTTTGCCATGACCCTGTTTTTGCAAGATATTTTCAGTAAAGTATGACAATATTTCTCATAGAACAATATAGTAATGTTAACTAGAAGGCACCCTAGAAGCTATCTGATACAATTTCATGTTCAGTCAAAATGAAGCAAATGTTGCAAGGAAACAAAATGCTTTTATATTCACAGCTGTCGCTGCCACTGGACCACAGCACTCCCCATAAAAGTTTGAGGGGCTCTAATCCAAAACTATGTTCTAAGAATGAACGAGGGTCATGTAAACGCAAAAAAAAAATTAAAAAAGGAAAAATGTTTGAGATAAAGAAATAATTTCATACATATGTAACTATTCAGTACTAGGCACATTCATTGGCTACTGACTTCTATGTATAACAGATAATTTTTTGCCTGGCTTTCTTTCTCTTAACTCTCTTTGAAACACATCTCTTTCTGTTACATGGCACACAGTTATGCAAAGGTATTCTGACCTTTTGAGTGCATTTGTCTTAATCTTCTAAAGATCCTCTTTTGGGCTCTATTTCCTGTTTACATTTGCCTTCTGGTGTGGCAGTCAATATATTTTCACACACTGCCCTTTAACGTTTGATATACTGAATTAAGCACAGAATGAAGGTGATCAAATCCCATTCTCTCCTTTTTACAGGTAAGAAACCAAACTGATACATTGTGCAGAACAACAACAACAAAGATCACTGAAATGAAGAGCAGGTGTTGTAACAAATTTATGTCCTCTAGGGAAATATCAGTAAGCTGTTGTTCATTACAAACATTTAGACAGTTTGGTTTTTCAGAAAGCAATATTAAAATATCTGTCTTTATCAAATCTTTTGTACATCTGTTTAAAATATGTGTAGAAACATATTTCAGTTAATTCTTGCAAAAATGGTGAAATATCAAGGTCAAACTCAGACTGAGCCCCTGAATATCAAGCAAACAATTATGTCATCTATGAATCTGTCTTTCACAACAACACAGACATCTTCTAGAATGCATCAGTATTGCTGCTTACATTCAAAGTCCTATGAAACTGCCAAGTACAACTAATAATATCTATTCATATTAATAATTGTGCATTAAAGCATCTGTCTGACAAAACAGACAGGATCTTTTAAGGATCTTTTACTACCAGTCTTCCAGTATATAGCCGAAGTCTGTAAAAAAAATCATTTCAACTGCCAAATTTTCAAAGCAGATTAAATTTTGTGAGCAGACTGAAGATCTTTATAGGTGCGCATACAGAACATACTTTTAATATATATTTTTTATCATTTTTGAATGTTAGAGTGTACTTCCTGCATCTTATTTTATCATTTTTGTGTCCAGTTGTGATTTTCCTCTTAAATTTTTCTTCAAAGTTGAAGTATTGGCTTCATATCTTTCTGCTGCATAAAAATCATTCTCCTTTTTTCTTCATCTCCATTTCTGCTTTGTTCTGTAGTCAAAATAGATATACTGAGCATTTTGTGTATAATTTGAGTGAAACTGTATGCTCTGACAGAGATATTTTAAGAATTAAACTGTCAGCAATCATAGAAGCAGTAGAAAATATTTCATACTAATAAAATCAATCTATTTTCAAAATGTTTTTTCCACCAAAACCTTTCAAAGCAGATGTTTGAGAACTATGTAGTACTTGCATGAAGTAACCAGACATGGCAGCAAGCCTAGATGACAGCAGGTGGTTTCAAGTGCTTTGCATCTATATGGTGCCTAAAAAGAACGTTGCATCTCCGACTGGAATCAAAACAGCGTTAACACTGAACTCCCCTGAGTGAAGTCACCCAAATGCTAGCAACCAAGCCACTTGGAGAGCTTTGAAAGACAAGATGGCAAAATTGCACTTCTTTGACCCACTTTATACTAATCTTCTGTAACTGGTTTGTAATCATTCCTAGGACCAAAGCTTAGAAAAAAAATGTTAATGATCATCTTCTATAGAATACAGCAATGAAAGAATTTGTCCAAGAAAGGGCAGTGTTCAGCAGGTCTTCAACAACTTATTTCTTCTCATTTTCAGAGAAGTACTTTCTCATCAAACTATAAGGTAAAGCTTTCAAGAACTGAGAGGTTGCTTTGCTCTTCTACATTTTTTAACCATGCAACTGTCGAGTGAAATCCCTATTAGACCACTAGGGAACAGATGGGAGATAACAAGGAAATGTCTTCCTTGAATGAAGTACAGAATGTAGACTGGCTGTTTATTTGGGGGGAAGGAAATACAAGTTCTAATCCCTGTGTTCAAGACAGATGTAAAATGTATTAAAGGTTCTTAGGATATATTCTGTGTTTTTAGATAGCTTGATTGCACTTACGAATTTGGACTTAAGTTCTTACAGCTACTAGCGATACTTAATGTGCATTCAAATAGGGAGAGAAATAGATTGTCCACATATACAGTCTCTCCTGCTTCCTCCAGCGCTAGGAGCCAAAACTCACTTCATGTATCTCCTTACTTAAAAAGCAAGTACATATTTTGTTTTCATATCAGTAACATTATAGACAATTAGAAATCATGAGCTAGATATAGACCAAATTATATGTTTACAAATAAAACTACTAACTATTCTTTCAGAATATTCAACGCTGCTTACAATCTTGCAATCTTTGGCTGGGGAAGTTTTAAGAGATTTTAAGAGATACATTTTCTCAATGAGGAGAATAAAAACAATGAATTATAAATATTTCTACAACAAATCTACCTGAATGGTTGTTTTAAACCTAGAGAATGTCTTTGCATGTGGATTTCTTTTTCTCCAAGTTGGTGCATTGTAAGATCCTGAAGAATACTTGTCTGCAGAAGAAAAAATAAAAAATAATCTCTTAATTTCAACCACATTTTCAGGAAAGATTATCTCAGTCTGCTATGTGATTTAAAAGTAACATTTGCTGAAGTATCAATTGATGGATCAGATGAATCATATATGTCACCCCTGAAATTCAATCTATTATTAAATACAGACTTTACCTTTGGTACATTAAAACGTCTGTAATCTTTCACCATTTCCATGATGCTCACAGATTCTTCAGAATCAATGTTTCTGTATTGAAAATCCCTCAGAAGAGTCAATTGCTTTTAGAATAAAGAAATCCATAACCCAACGTACTCTTTTATCACTGCTTGTAAAAGCATCATGTGCAAGGCAATATGTTAACAAATAATCATTCTGTATAAAATTTAGTTGAAAACTTTTTTACTGATACCCTTATTTACTTTTAACTCCAGGTTAATTTAATTAATTCCAACAAGTATATTCCAACAAGACTCCAACATAATAATTCTGTTTTACAGTTTACATGAGCATCTAAGTACTACAGTTTTCAGTTTAGGTTCAAAAATCTTTCATTTGTGTCAATCAGAATTTCTGGTTCCAAACACAATGGCTCAAGCAGTCTTCAAAGAAAAGATATTGAAAATGGTGATAGTTCTTTGTGTGACAAAAACTCTGGACAGAATTTCTTTGAAATGCTCTATCCCTTTTCTAGACTGAAAATTTGATAAAATATATATTTTCTATTAAGAGTATTCACTCTGGTATTCCTATATAAACCTTTTCAGATTTGAACAAAACAAATGTTAAAACGAAAAAAAAAAAAAACCAACACCAAACTGTTACTTCCTAAGACTAAACAATGATGTTGAGATTGATTTCATTTACATTTTGTCATCTAAAGACAATAATCTGTCAAGGGATGTTACTTTTATTGGAAATAAAGATAGGAAGGCACCTCAAAACAGAGGTCCAACTTAAAGATAAACAAAACTGGCAATGTATTATTTTACTATTATTTAAATTATCACTCTATTTGTCACTGAAGTGACAACAAAAAACCCCAAAATTATCAAAATATTGATGAAGACTGGAAATAAAACCAAAATTATGTTACTGTATTGTGTGAAGTGTGTATTAGAATGTTAAAAATAAGTGAAAGATATGAAATTAATTACATCTGAAAGAGCCAAAAAGTAACATATGAGATTCTAAACCCCACTCTATGTTTCTTGTAAAATTTATGACATGGTAGGTATAATCAAGAAGACAGCAAAAAGATGAAGGAGAACATCGTCCTGAAAGAATTGTAGGTAGAATGAATTTAGTCCTCCATTCAGTATAGACCACGTGGGAACATAATAATGTATATCACAAAAGTTCAGAGCAAACTTAAATTGGTAACAGAAGTTTGAATACGGTCCAAGACTTTCTGTATTCTGGAAGAAAAATAATCATAAATAATGAAAAATAATCATAAATCATACATAAAATGAAATACTAGTTGGAAAGACAAAGACAAAAAAATAAAAGGTCATTTCTTCATCCCCTGCAGGAGAAGAAGTGGTACAATAAATATTTCTTGAGAGGAAACTAAAATTCTACTGGAAAACAAAACTCTTACTGCTGTTACTGTTGATATCTAGAATAGCACGATAAATTAAAGTGGAATATTATGAGGTCTATTAAACATTATCTTTCAAAAGAAAGAAAGGAAAAAAAAAGAAGTGGGAATCAGCACAAAGTTTAAATGTGTTTGTATCTCTGCATATGGATATTACTACAATTTAATTATGAAAATTATGCTGGATTAAATTTACTCTTGCCCACATTTAGTACCTACATAGGTATTCTTATTTAGATATAAAAACCTAAATATTCCTCTGCAATGACAAACATGAAAGCAGCAGAATACAATCAGGTATTTGAAGAGCCATTTTAAGAATTCTGTGTAAGCAGAAACTCACCTGTATATCCATTAAACCTTGGTTCCTGTATGACTCTGGTATTACGGTAGAACACATACGCTGACCTTCGAGGTTCTGCAGAATTGAAGTAACTGTTTCTTTCAGTCTGTCTCACAGAATGAATGGAAGAAGCATTTTCATCATCCTTCCTTTGATAATTTCGTTGGTAATTTGTTGTGACTTTTGAGTATGAAGTGGGAACTCCTAAAATTGGAAAAACAAATTTATAAAGTAATGTTGTGATATTACTCAAAATTTGACATATTAGAGAAAACTAAAGGCTGGAAGACAAAATTAAAAAAATATTCTGTACAGATAATCCTCTCAAAATATTGATTGTCCATGTGCAACAAGAATAGAACGAGGCAGTGCTAAATTATCTAATAGTTTAGTTTATTGAAATGGATAAGCCAACTGTTTTCTAAAAATACCTTTGCCTGTTCCTGTATTAGGTGAGTTTCTTTGCTCCTCAGAAATCCATTTCTTTTTCTTTACTCCTTTGAAGTGGTATTTCCTCACCCGTTCAGAGCTGTTTGTTGCTGAAAGATTTAAACAGCACAGATTTACTTTTCAAAAAGCACTTCCCAAGAAATGCTACTGAAAACCTAATCTTGCACTTCATACACAGGTCTCCATAGGTAGTAACATTCTTTTACTCTTTAATTATTTTGCAAGAATACTCACACAAAATAAAAACAAAAGTTGCTATATTTCCACTAGCACAGTTCAAGGTCTCAAAATCTTGATAGGAAGCTCAAACATCAACAAAGTCCAACAGTACTTTGAACAAGTACAATTACTTTGATTGATTCTGCCTCAGAATGTTTCCCATTAAGAATCAGAAAATCTTCAATAATACTGTAAAAAATAGAATCTCATGTAAAAATCAGAAAATATACAATAATTAAGTACCTTTTATATTTGAATACTTTGATGCAGTTGGTGTTTTTTCAAAAGGTTGTGCCTCACTTCTTTGTCCATTAGCATATTTGTTTCTCTGTGCCGCAAAATAATCACCTCCTACAAAAAATGAAGAAAAGCTGAAGAAAATCATCTATACTAAAGAACATACTGAAAAATTAAATATGAATCATTTTTATAATTACATCTTCACTTAAATTAATAAAAAAATGCACGGAATATAATAAAACCAAATAGACAATACCTTAAGGCCCCCTCAACACCTCCCCCTTAAAAAAAATAAAAAATAAAAATAAAATAAAATAAAATAAACATGACATTTAAAAGCTTTAAATAAAATGGGTATAATTTAATTACAGAATTGCTTCTCAGTGATAGCTTTTCACTAGTGACAGTAAAAGTCACCTAAGAGAAAGACACATACTGCACGTAAGTCACAGTAAAAGAACTAGGTGGTTGAGAAGCTAACACGAGCCAGCAGTGTGAACTGGCAGCCTGGAAGGCCAACTATATCCTGAGCTGCATTAAAAAAGGGATGGCCAGCAGAGAGAGATAGAGGTGATTTTCGCTTCTACTCAGCTCTTGTAGACCCCATCTGGAGCCTGCAGCAAAAGAAAGATACAGAGAGCTTGGAAAGGGTCCAGAGGAGGGCAGCTAAGAAGATCAGAGGGCTGGAGCAATTTGAGGGAACTGGGCTTGTTTAACCTGGAAAAGAAAAGGCTCTGGGGAGACTTCATTGTGGCTTCCCAATACCTGAAGGGAGCATTCCCCCCAGGAGGGGGAATGGCTGTTTATGAGGATGGATAGTGATAGGACAAGGGGGAATGGTTTTAAACTGAGACAGGGAAGGTTTAGCTTAGATATTAGAAGGAATTTTTTCACACAGAGGGTGTTGAAGCACTGGAACAGGTTGCCAAGGAGGTTGTGGATGCCCCATCCCTGGAGGCATTCAAGGCCAGGCTTGAATGGCAGCCTAGTCTGGTGGTTGGTGACTCTGCACATAGCAGCGGGGTTGAAACTGGGTGATCATTCTGGTCCTTTTCAACCCAGGCCATTCTATGATTCTATGATAATATGTAAGATACATCTATGCTGTTTCACACTTGTCTGAAGCTAGAAGATGCACACCACTTTGCTTTGACCAAGCATCCCTAGCATGATAATGAATTATTTTGCATTGACAAACTAAGAGGAGGAAAAGGAATTATTATTATTTTTACCAGTATTTCCTATTTATGAAGAAAAAGGAGCATATATTGGTAAGTAAACATACACAGATTGCCCTGAAAGTAACGTCTTTTGCAGTCATTCCTATACTTACTTTGTTAACTTCACAAGCCACTTCTTCATCCAAAATAAAAGGGAAAAAGTCAAATGTAATCAGCATAAAAGCTTTTTATATTTACTATAATCTTAAAATAAATGGAATCATAAATGGTATTTACAATCTTTACAATTAATGGTATAGTATTAGGAGGAGTGCATGTAACATGAGTAATAAGAAAAAAAGCTATGTATTTCAATTATTATTTTATTATTTTATATTTAAGAAGTGAAGTTTATGGCATATTGATTTATGGCAGCTTTCTTTACCACATGATGTTCAGTACCAAGAAGCCAATGTTAATTACCTTCATTTTCATAGGATTTATCATGTGTTCTGCTAATACACTGCACTGATACTTTCCTTCCTGAAGTCTCTCTCTCCCTTTCCACATTATTAAATTTTGTAGGAATTGTATTACTGTCACCTGGAAAGGCAAAGAAAGAACATTTTAGCTCCTTGTGTATAAGCACAATAAATGAAAATGTCATTCTCTTCCTTCCATCTTCTATTCAATATATGAATTAGTAATTAGCTCAAAGCAATTTCCTTTAACTGCTTGCTTTACATTCTTCTTTCTCTTTTATTACTCATTTCAATAGTGAATGGTGTACCTAAAGCTCTGATGTGTAACATGTGAGTTTCCTAAGAAATGCCACAATACTCAGGTTAACCTGAGACATGGTAAATTTTGCCCACAAAGATAAAAATACCTGCCTTTCCACAAATCATGCTCGATGGTTTCCATTGGTAATTGTTCATTTTCCAAAGATGGAGATGGAGATATCATTTCTGTTGACTGGTGTTCCTGAGGGTACTGAATCCTATAATATTCTCCTAAACGTATACCCCGAAGAGGAAAAATCATATTATTACATTATATAATATATATATTATAAATTATATTATTAAATTATATTATTAGATTATTATATATTTATATTATTATTTATATATTATATATTATTGTTATTATTTGTATATTTATTATAAGTTCATAAAAGGGTCACTAATTTCATATTTACCAGATTTATAGCACATTTCCTTTATTGCTCTTTCCTCTTCAATGTCTTCAGCAGTCTTTTCCAACGAATCAGAAATATCTGTAGGCAACATTTTAGAAAGATTACTAGGTATCTTCTCATGCTGTACAAAGACCCTTAGTGTTTCTTAATTATCTAATAACATAATGAATTTCATTTTTGTCATGATTATTCCAAAATGTTTTGTTTTTCCAAGTGCAATGGCATATCAGCTACAGCACCTATTAAAAAGGCAATTTTTGTTGACTTGAAGTGATTTAAAATCATTTTCAGTATTCATTTGCAAAACATTTGTTTACTCTCACAAGGAAATATCAATGAATATGTCATCAGAGACTTCTTGTCACAAAGCCTCAGCCCAATGTTCTTAACCTGTAATGTCTGCTGGCACAGCTGGTGAAGTGAGTGTTCCTTATCTATCTCAGTTAAGATTAATAAGATTAATCTCTAAGTGAGACACATCAAACTACTTAAATTCAGGTGTGGCGTGTTTTTTATTTAATATACGCACTTAGAAATATATATATGTGTGTGTAAACCAGTGAAGCATATTGCATGAACTCTCTTTACTAGATTTAATAACTTTTTTGTAATAAAATGAGACTGGCCACTGGATTTCAGCCAGTTTAATAAATCAAATTGAACAAATGACTTGAGCTGAAGGCACACAGCTATCTTTTGTAAACAAACTTTCACGTTTGTTTACACGATGATTGTGTACAGCCCTAACTCCTGTTCAGAAATCTGTTTCCCATAAAAAGAAGTACCTCCTAAATTTGCAATTTTTACAGCATAAGTAACCCATAGCATTAGATAATCCCAAAGAAAGAAAATACTTGGAGCTGTACAGATAAAAAACATTTTGTTCACCATGTAAATAAATTGTTACCTGACCTGCTATGGTAAAGACCCTGCTGAACATCCCTCAGTGCAAACTGGTAGCAGTGCTGGCTAACATTAAGCCACACAGCAAATCCTCAGTCAACACATACTATTAAATAATATCGGTGAGAAGGGGAAGATATTATATGTTTCTAAATGAGAAAATGCCAACTAATCAGACCGCCTTCAAACTGAGAACTTGTATATTACATTATAGTATTAGACAGACATCTGAATATTTTAAATTCTAATTGACGAAAAATGGAATATATGAATTATACCAGCATCAAAATACAAAACTAGATGCTTCGTAGGAGTTAGAAAATACTGGTTTAGTTATGCATCTGGTGACTAACGTTTTTGTTGGAAAACAGTTTCAATAACTTGTGAACAACTCTTCCCTAAATGCATTAATGATCGTGAGAATAAATCAGTTATGAACTACAAGGTGAAAAACATCCACTCTACTTCCTTGTAAGAAGAAGAATAAAACTTGTTTACTATTCCTGTTGTCTTCATCCTCTTTTTCATCCTCCTCTTCATCGTCCTCATCATGGCTGAGGTCTACAATCACTGGAGGGTGAATTGGTCTTAAAAAAGCCTCCTGAATTTTGAGCGATTCTTGACTATGGGCTGAATTCAAAATTCCTTCTTGGCCTTCCTGTTGAAATATAGTATCTGCAGAAAAGAACATGATACTGATTTTTTCAGGAGGGAACTGCAATATGAAATCCAGGTTCAGACCAACAGATAAACTTTTGAAATAAGTATCATATTAAAAGTATCTGCAAATAGATTAATTGTGCCTTTTAGTGAGTATCTTCTTCAGAGACGGGCAAAAGAGCACCTTCCAAACACAGAAAGAATTAAAATTTATGCATGCTAGCTCTTCTGAAGGAAAAGATAACACAGTGCTGACTATAGCCTTTTGAAAAGAGAAGCACTTTAATCATTCTATGCTGTTTTAAAAAGCCTGTATATCTCTTCCTGCTAGTAGATAGACAAATCTAAGTCAGTAACTTTCTTTCTTCCAATCCCTTCGTACAGTTTACAACATAGGGAAATATATGATTAGTAATATCTTGGTTGAATTAAGTCAATGATTCTAGGACTCACAGAAATATATTAAGCATGCTAAACAGCAGGCAGGTCTGTACTGCTCCACAGGGCATCAAACTTGAAGAATTTAGCACTGTTAAGCACTAAGCCAAATTTAACAAGATTTTTAAGCCTTGAAATAAATAAATATAGTTTTAGTACTTGCAGTGTTATTGCGAGCAACCAAACTGTGGAGTTACACATATTCCAGTAAAATTAAACAGGTCCGTTTTCTAGCTCTGATTTTGGAGGCATTACTCCTAGAAAGGGTGCCTTATCCACAGTGTCTCTGGGCATTCTGTCTAGTTCATACCATACCCAAAAGTGTACTTAAGTTTACAATAGCTCTGTCTGGCTGAGGCTGATGTTGTGGATGTTGAAACTGCACTAAAAGCAGTATGGATACTCATACAAACATCACTACTACTGCCTGTGGAGATCCATGTAGGGCAGCGCCTGAAGGGTGGGCCCTGGGTATGGTGTTGCAGCAGTGCTTGGAGAGCTGCAGCCTGTGGGAAGGCCATGTGGGATCAGTTCAGGAAGGATGGTACCTCACCGGAGTGACCCCACGCTGGGCAAAGAGTGATCATAAGAGAACAGCAGAGATGAAGCATTAAGGACTGACTGCAGCCCCCTATCCCCTATTCCCTTGTGCTGCTTCAGGGGAAGAGGTAGAAGAGAGTGGACAGAGGGGAAGGTGGTTTTAGTTTGCTTTTAGTTTCTCACTTCTCTAGTCTGTTAGTAGTTGGCAATAAACTACAGTAATCATTCCCTCAGAGAGAATGGATAATTTCAGATACTTTCTTAGAAAATTATTGGGTTTGTCTACATGCATGAACTTAGTATGTGAAAATGATAGTGGTAGAAAGTGTAATGCATACAACTGCAATCTATTGGTGATATTCATTGTGAAACAGTTGGGTGTCAACTATTACATTCTGGAGAAGGAAAATATTTTAATACTTTAGTCCCTGAATGATGCTCTAGAGGCCAGAAAAGACTATCATTTCAGAAGCTAAAAGATTAATGATTTCCTATAAAACAAAATCTTCAGACTAAATCTGAATCATATTTTCTATGTACTGCAAAAAAGGATGTCTTACCATCTACTACTCCAAAAATACAGCACAGACGAAAAGTTAGTGTAAAATTTGTACTCCAGAGTTCTTAGCAATCTAAATTGCCATTTTCTAATTCATCTTTTATGTAACGAGTGGCTATGAACATTTGTAACATTCCACCTGCATAAATTAATATAGAAACCCATCCATATGCCAATACAATTCCTTCTTTCACTTAGAATTTGATGGGATAGCTGGTCACACCTGATTTATTTGCAGTGGTGCATTTCATGATGTTAACATGCACTATGTAAGTGGAAGTTTAAGGATATTTTCAAATATTTATTTACTTTAGTAGACAAATTGTTGAGAAAATACTTCTACTTACTGTTACTAGGTGGCAGAAAAAGTCCATTTATATTACGAGGTTTGCTATGATGGAAGATGCAACTGATCCTCACACAGCCTAATGGCTGCGTTTCCCAGAAACACAAGATGTTGCTGTAGTTTTGCTGTGAGACAAAACATTTTCAGACATTGAAAATGTAAGAATACAAGTGGACTATACCGACTAACACACATTGTACTGCGAGGAACAGACAACACTTTGGAGGACCATACTACGGTCTGTTAGAATGTTTAAAGTTATCTATACTTAAGCCAAAGGATACAGAACTGTTGCCAGATAATAGAGTAAACCTGTCTACATGCTATTATGCGACATACTCTACCACAGGCATTTTATGAGATGTTGGGAAGAAAAAAATGTTTTTATTGTATACCATATTTATTTAATAGAGATGCGCCTGAGTTTCCTCTTCTACAGAATGGGATAATCAGACCTATCTCAAATGAAATCTGCTGTGTAAGTGCAAATCTCATGCATATACTCTCTTAAAAGACATGAAACTGTGGAAAAATAAGGACTACAACACCCAAAAACATAAAGATGCTTTAAAAAATGGAAAATGTACTAATTTAAGAACTTTTAATCCTTGTACAGACTCGTCAGACATGGATTACTAAACAAAGGAATAAAACTCTTGTTTAATTTCCTATTCAAAACCACTTTGGCACAAGAAAGCCACTTTTGACTTCAGACTAAAATTGTGCTTGAAGGAATTCACTCCCTTCTACCTTTGTGTGAATACTTCCCTTGTCTCCATAATGCACACAAGGTATCACAGCTAAGAGGTTTTTCACAGTGACAGAATCTTCACTAGAAATCCTAATGAGGAGAAGGATTTTGAGGCTTAGACATATTAAATTCCCATATACGATGTATTATGGCTGTTTTAAGTGAGAGTCCCCTCCAATAAAACTCCTTTTCATTAACGAGAGAGACCATTGAGCAGCCAAGTATAAAAATACTATGATGAAAAATAATTACAAATTACCAAAAATGTTCAGGATTTGATGTTCTGAGACTACTATCATTACACTTCTTATGCCATCTGCCAGTTGTTTTTCATATGACACACAGAAGCTTAATGGGAAAAAGACAGTATTGACATTGTTTTGCTCAGTTATTTAATTATTGCTGCTTCACTTCTACATACAATCACAATGCTGGAATTATACTGATCAAGATTTTTCCAGATTGTCTCTGTGTAAAGTAGTGCACAATTAGCACATTTCCAATGAAAGTCCCTTTTGTTAGTCAAAATTCTCTCTCTCTGCCTTATTAAAGTTTTTGATTATTGATCATTTTCTCTGATTATACCATTCACTTTTTGCTATAACCTGAGCTATTGTTCTCCAGCAAGTTGCAAGGAAACTCATAATTACAAACAGGCATGTGCTCATGAACACTTTGAAGATGGGAAAACCAAGTTTATATTGGGGATATGAACTATATGCCAGTTGAGAGTTGCGAACACCAGACAACCAGTTATTTCCTAATGATTTTGTCCATTTATTTTTTTAAGGAAATCAAAGACTTTGGATTGCCTGAATTCTCCCCGAAGTAAATTGAAATATTCCCATCTGCTTTGGGGAAATAAGTTTTGTTCAGCTACAAACATTAGCAGTTGAAGGGGCAGAATCAAGGAGCAGCATCTCAACACCACACTGCTTTTGGAATTCAGTCAATACATCTGGTTCAGGCACTGAGACATGCTGGTGTTTGGAGCCAAAGCCTGTCTCTAAAGCATTAATGCCTAAAACACTAATGCTCAAATAGATGCAATAACCAAGAACTCTGCATCCAGCCCTGGATTTTTATCAGTTAGAAAAGAAATATTTCTTTGAAGGACAAAATCCATTAGGAATGGCTTCAATTTGTTTAACAGGCTTTAAAGAAATTCAGGTAGTCAGTGTAAGTGGAAATTATAAACATGGTCTATTCATTCAGATTTAATATAACAGTGACAGATAAAGAGAGATGAGTGATGAATGATTTTTAAGAGGGATTTTAAATTTCTCTGCTTCCTGAGTATCTGAGCCCTAGTCACAGGAATAATTAGGACAATTTGCTCTTCTCACTTCTGAAAAATCAGATAACTGATTTACACATACTGCCATGATGAATCTCCATCTAAATATGCATGTATCAAAGAATTCAAGGACACTGACCACTCCAAAATCTATAGCATTTACCTGTGCATACGGAGAATAAAAATAGCGATCATTCCCACCTTCAGCCATTTTCACTTCTTATGCACCTACTCTACTCGTTTTATTCAGGTAGAGCATACATTAAAACGTAAAAGCTATCTATCCCTGTACAGGGAAATCTTAATTTTACCCTGAAAACAGTAGTTTTCTTTAAAAATTGGGTTTTCAGAAATTCAACTCTGCTTCTGTTTTGAAACAAAACTCCAATTGACAGCGTAGCTAAAACTAAGTACAGCAGAGCTAAGGAGGTGGCCAGGTTTGCTAACTGTCAAAGATGGTGGCTAGCAAGGACAGAATGCTATGTTTCCATGGTTTCCTCTGCTCCTCCAGATCTTGTGACATCATCAGATGACATCATGTAGCCTTTCAGGCTTAAACATCTTCCCTATTTGCACTGCTGGAGAATTAAGCATGGAAAATCAAACCTTTTCCAAGAGTTTATTGTATTCTCTTTTCAAAATTTCTTCTTGCAAAGTTTCTACTTTCAAAAAGTTTGATGTAAAAAGGAACAGACCCATTTGGCATAGTTTAAATGATACCCAACTTCTCACTGCAGAAGCTGTGGTCTTCTAAACAAATCTTTAATATAACAAATACAAATGTTATCCTTAAAATCCTTGAACACAATGCTTTTCTTACCGTATCTCTCTTTGGACTGAGACACTTGCTGCTTCCTGTCAGTAGACTCTAAGGCGCTGAGTGCTGATGTTGCTTGTGTTAATTGCTTTCTCTTGCTCCCATGATGTCCACTGCCACAGCTAAAGCAGAGAGAACAGCTTACACGTGTGTTACCAATTAACACCTCCATTCTCATCCTGTCCTGGGGTGCGATGACTTCGCTTGAAAGCGCTGGCTAGGCTCAATGTGGGCAGCAAAAGCAAGAGATTTAGCAGAGGAACGAAATTTAAAGGGCTCTAGGAGTTACGCATGCTTTCCACCTGAACTCAGCGCTCAGGAAAGATAAGAAAATTAAGGAGAACAGATTAAGACAATGAATAACGAACGATCAGTGGGCAGGAGCGTCCACTGAAACAAACAGTTATCGCTGCCAGGAGCTACCCTAACTCTGACAGCGCAGAGAACCTGGGCAACGAAAGGAGGCGGCCGTCCCGCCCGAGGTACAACCTGACACCGAGAAGCCTCCGCTCCTTGGGAACACCGCTTCCATGCCCGCGCAGAGGCGGAGTGAAGGCCGCCGAGCGAGATCAGCTGCTGAAGTAACAGCCAACGGCTTTCGCCTCAGCCCCAGCGCGAGCCCCGTCCCGGCGGGACACCTCCTCCCCCGCGAGAGGCGGCCTCGCTCCGCCATGCGGCTCCCGCCGGGCGCAGCCGAACTACGTCTCCCATGGCGCAGCGCGGTGCGGGCGCGCTTCCGGCAGGGCGCGGGGCCGGCGGTGGGATCGGGCCGGCGGGGCCATGAGCCGCAGGGGCGCGGTGCAGCGCAAGGTGCCGTGTTTGTTCGTGACCGAGGTGAAGGAGGAGCCGTCGGCAAAGCGGGAGCGCCAGGTGACCGGGGCGGCGCGGGTCGCGAGAGGCGCTGGGCTCGGTGGGCCGAAGCCGGGAGTCGGCGGCAGCGGAGGTGTCGCCTAAGTGGACCCGGCCCGGCTGCAGGGCGGCGAGGGCGAAATGTCAGAGGGCGGTAGCATCCGTCTGTGCGGCTGTAGGCTTCCACTTTCTGCTGTTCAGTTAGAGTGAAAAACCTGTGGGCTGCGCGGTGAGCTGGGATCCGTCTGTGTTGTTGTTTTTTTTTTTTTCTTCCGTTGCTATTTGATTAAGGAGTGGAAGAAGGAAAATAATGCCAACGCATCAGTAACTGCGTTGTTAATCTTTCAGGACCTGCGCCATATAATGGTCGTCTCTAAATTGCTATTCCTTCATATGGAAGAAGCAGATGGGATTGGGTGTGTGGGCCAGGATAGCGCTGGGCTGTGGCTGCTAGGAAAGAAAGGCAGTGCTGGTAGGAAAACTGACTGATGTTTTCTTCACTATCTGAAAATATTGTCTTTGTATGTAGTTTATGTTACGGTTACAGGTAGGATTAATGGAGTATTTGAGGGAGAACTCATTGCAACCTGTCAGTATTGAAAGGAGGTGTATGGAAAAGGGGGAGAGCGACTTTTTATACATGGCCTGGTAGTGATAGGACATGGGAGAACCACTTTACAGTAAAGAGGGGAGATTTAGTTTAGATGTTAGGGGGAACATCTTTACTCAGAGGATGATGAGGTGCTGGAACAGGCTGCCCAGAGAGCTGTGGGTGCCCTGTCCCTGGAGGTGTCAATGGCCAGGCTGGAAGCGGCCCTGGGCAGCCTGATCCAGTGGGTGGTGTCACTGCCTGCCACAGGGAATTGGAACTACGTGGTCTTTGAGGTCCCTTCTAACCCAGGGCATTCTACGATCCTATAAAGTAGTCATGCAATGTAAATCAAGTATGTGGAAGCTTCTCATTTTGTGAATTCTGTGTTTAGAGACGTTTTCAGGATGAAGGCTTCTTTGTGTTTGACCAGAAGGAAGAGATAGTGACCAGCTTACACTTCAAAGCTGATTAGGGAGAGAGAGGGATGATTATTGTACAGGAAGATATCGTTAATCCAAACACAAATGTTAACACGGTTTCACTAAAACTGTTACAGAAGTACTACTGATGATACCTCATAGAACTAATCACGGCTGGATATTATTTCAGATCGCTGGGTGGCTTATTTCTTTATTCTGAGTGGAAAAATGTTTTGTTAACAACACTGGCACTAAGTATTTTGTAGTAGTGTCCTGCCACTTTGAAGTCATTGACATGTGCATTGTACTGATGGTGATGCCATTGCCATTCAGTTCCAGCCCAAAACATAGGAACTGGCAGTCATACTGGATTTCTATTACCATAGTAATATAGGAAAGTATATCTCAAAATTCTGTTGTGTTAGATTGGGACCCACATAGATAACATCCTCCATTTAAAGTGGGAGGCAAAGTAATCTCAAAATACTAATCAAGAATGGAAAGGAGGGTCAGAGTTTACAAAGAGTTTGCCTTTTTTTTTTTTTTTTTTGTCTTACAGCATTTTTCAAACTTGTCTTGCAGAAACGACTGTTCATTTTGACAGTGTTAGAATTCAGCACTATAACGTATAGTATTGAATTTATAGAGTTCAGCAGTACAAAGCAAGAATGTATGAAAACAATGCAGTAATATAGCAGTGATTAGGATTAAAATACCTGTCTTCTTTTCAGCCGTTTAAAGTTTTGGCAACTGAAACCCTGAATGAAAAGGCATTAGAGGCAGATATATACAATGCAATTCCTACTGAAAAGGTGGATGGAACCTGCTGTTACGTAACTACCTATAAAGGTAATAAGGAAGATCAATATACAAGTTTCTCATGCTGACTAGTGGCCTGTTTTAGTTGAATACAAAGTAATAGTTACTATAAGTATATTAAAATGTCCTTAAAATTGTTGGTGATTTTACTCTCTGATGTATATGAAGTGTAGTTTAAGTTAACTTGCCTCATTTCAAAAATTATTATTAGTAGATGTACTTTGCATGCTAGAGTTTATGTAGAGGATGTTTGATTTCCTTGAGTAGGGTCAAAACTGCGGAGGTTGCGAGAATATTAGAAGATTAGTTTATTGCATCACTGGGGTTCTTGCCTTTCCCCGAAATTGCAAGAAAATTTTGTATTAAACTAGACAAAATTCTCCAAGTAGATTTTCAGATTTGTATACAATAACTAATTCGTTAATTAAAGCAGTCCTTTGGATGTAAAATTTTTGTAGTGACAAATAAGCAACAACTTCATGCTTTAACTTTTATGCAGTTGATTTCTGTATTATGCAGGGTATGATTATGTAAGTAAATCACTGTTTTCATAACTTTGGGATCTGTAGGGCAACCATACCTATGGGCTAGGCTGGACAGAAGACCCAACAAACAAGCTGAAAAAAGGTTCAAACGATTTTTATATTCAGTGGAAGATTGTAAAGGTCAGTAAAGATTATTTTTTTTTTCTGCAGGATATTTCACTTCTCATCTGATGCAGGAAATGTCACTTATCCAGCTCTATTTTTTTTTTTTTTCATGTCACTCATCTTTTCTTCTCTTGTCCTAGTTTAAATATATTATAGGCTATTCAGGTAGCTATTTCTTAATCTGAACTACTTAAAGGCTAATATTTCTTTAAACCTCCTGATTCTAGGCTGAAAATCAAGCATTGGTGCTTTTACAAAGTAATGTGCACTACTGTCTTTCAAATAAGGTTTAGATCGCAGTATTTTAACGCTCGCATTGACAGAGGATCAAAATGTAATTCTAACAGTTTGCCAAATTCTAAATGTTGCATTTATATGCCTAGAATTTATTTGGAATGTTGAAGAGGATTTCAAGCCTGTTCCAGATACCTGGATCCCAGCCAAGGAAATAGAATTCTCTAATGGCAATCCTTTGCCTGATGAAAATGGACATATGCCAGGTACACATGGTAAAATGGTGAAAAAATACTGTTTTGAAGTGAATCAGAATTAGTAAAAATTCTGTATGTGTAGCTAGCATATATAGAAAACAATCCAAATATTATTTGTTCATTATCCAGAAAGCCTTTGTTCTGACATACTGAAAATAATTACAGTTTGTCTTCAGCTGAAGTTCTGTATGTTCATACTAGAAAATTGCCATGTATGTATTCTTATATTTCTTAGAGATCTAACTGTTTCTCTAGTTACTCTGTTTTTAGCAAAGGTAACTGTTGTGGTTTTTCGTTGTTGTTTTGGTCTGGTTTTAATGCATGTACAGTTTTAATTGGCATTTGAGAAATTTAGATACTTTGGTAAAATGGAATGTTTTGTTGTAGGTTGGGTGCCTGTGGAGAAAAACAGTAAGCAGTATTGCTGGCACTCATCTGTTGTAAATTATGAGGCTGAAATGGCACTTGTATTGAAACACCATGCTGACCCAGGGCTTTTGGAAATTAGACCAGTATCACTGTCAGAACTTCTAGAACAAACACTGGAGCTTATTGGGACAAATATTAATGCAAATCCATATGGTAAGTTTGTATGGATAAAATATTTTTTTCAGTGATATTTCAGCTGGAAAGGCATTAATTTTGTGTGTATATATTTTTTTCTCTCTTTAAATAGAAGAAAAGAAAAGGCATGTTTAAATATGTAACATTTATTAGGAAGGGAAGGAAGGGCTAGCTCAAAGAATACTCTCAGGTTGGTACCCAAAACGCACTCAGCTTAGAACATAAAATTGCTACAAGTTTGTCTGTTAAACTTCTGTCTGCCTGCATGTTCTTGAGGAGGTCATATGAAAATGCTTTGCTGTAGCTTTTCAACGAAGAGCAGCAGTTTTATTCAGGCAAAGTACCATAAAAATTTCTGCATGAAGGTAACTGTGATTTTAAAAAGTATCTGCCTATTACATATATCTATTTATAGGAAACAGTTTATGCCATACCTAAAACTGAGGTTTCTGCTGTACTGATAGAGAACTCTGTGACACCTGAAAAACAGCTGTGCTGTTGAAGAACACTGCTTTCTCATTAGTCAAAGCACAGGTTTTGACTAATCCTTACTGCAGTTTTCAGACAGTGAATGAGTACATTTTTAATGAGAATTTCCCCCTACCCTCTCCCCCCTCCAAAAATACACTAACTGGAAAAGTTGTTTTAAGTGTCAGTTTAAAAAATATTTTAAGATTGTTTGAGGGTGCTTCTTTTCTTGATGCTGCTTAGTTCATTAAAATAGAAAATTTTATTCAGCTTTAGATTTTTTTAGACCCTAGAGTTAGTCATGAGTTGCAGTTTTAAAATAGTTAAATATTATGAGTATTCTCTTAAGGAAATGTAATATTAAAGCTAAACTTTGTTATTTCTCCCTTTCAAAACTTGTTAACAGAAAGCACAATTAAGCATGAGCACAAATGAATTTTAACTTCCTTGCTTGGCTGCAAGGGTAATTGCCAAGGAAGGACAGGAAAAATAGTAGTACATGGTCTGAGCATTATGTTAGAATTTAAACAAATGGCAGCAACATTTTTTTTTTATAGTTTTGGTCTTAGTTTTCAGTATAAATCTTCAGTCACTGAAGAGGCAATGCTTTTTTCTTTTATTAAACAGCCTTGCCTAAGTGTTATTGCACATTCATTAGAAAATATTCAATTTCGCAAACTAAGATGTTTGTGATATGGATTGTGATCTGAAGCATGAAGAGTTTAGTGGCTCTGTGATTACTGAGGAGGTGAAGGTGAGCATGAAACTGAACACTGTAACATCTGAGGCATGTTAACTTATATTCTGTAAATAAAAGTTGCATGAGGAGAAGATGGCTACATTTGATATTTATGTGTAATTGGTCTTTTAAAGACAGTATATTGCTGTAGAGTCTAATAGAAATCTGCCTTTATAGAGCACTTCTTAGATGTCTGTAATAAAAGTGAGGTAAATGTTAAAACACGTAACTGCAGAAAGATTTTTGTTCCTTTTAACATAGGATTGGGAAGCAAAAAGCAACCTATACATCTTCTGGTACCACATGGAGCATTTGAAATAAAGAATCCACCTACTTTGAAACAAAGTGACATAGTGTCATGGTTTGAAGGCTGCTGTGAGGGTAAAGTTGAAGGAATCGTTTGGCACTGCCGTGATGGATGTTTAATCAAGGTAAATAGATAGGCAGATGTGTAGAAAGCACTATAATAATTTCTAGTAGCTGAGTCTAGTGGCTTATCATTCACTTTTTACCTTGCTTTTCAAATTTTTTATTAGGAATCCAACCAAACCAAATTAGCAAATCTGGTTAGAATTAAGCAAGCCACTGAACAGCATTCAGTACAGCTGATGGTTTAATACATTTATTTTTTTTTATTATCTACATCATGTTTATAGTAATTGAGAATATAAAATAATTTTCCTGTCTACACAGGATTTGGTCAACATTTTACAGCTTTATTTAAAAAAATTCACTTCTTGTAATGTTGACTTAGAGAATAAGGATTGTTGATGTAATCTTTGATTAATTAGCAAGTTAATCTTTATTTCTGATGCTTTAGAGGACACAGTGGTTCTTGTTTGCTTTTTGTTCTTCATTTAGTCATATTATTCTAACAGATAATAAATGTTTATAGAATTGATCTAATACAGAGAACCCTAGAACTGAAGCCTCCTTCCCCCTCAAATTGGGAACTCTTAGGCTGCTATATCAAAATCTCTAAATGGATCTATTTCTTCTTATTTTAGCTCCATCGCCATCATCTTGGTTTATGCTGGCCACTTGCAGAGACATACCTGAATTCTCAGCCTGTTGTTATTTCTTTCAATAGAAATGACTATGACTGTGATTTTGGACCAAAGAGTTTGTTTCATCAGTTTTCAAAACTAGATGGTCAGAGATTTGACAGACTCAAAGATATCAAGTTTGATGATTGAAGTTACTTTTCTATTTTAAGTTAGTAGCTCTATGTCCTGCATTCCACTTTTTTCTATCACAGAACTCCTTACAAAAAGGAATCTTCCTGCTTGAACAGCAAGCTCTGTACTCTATAGTTTGAAGTTTTTCTTAAATGACTTATTGTAAGTAGTAACGTATGTGACATCCAGAACAGAATCTAGTTTCAAGCATGTTTATTTTCATTTTTGAAAAATCTTTAACTTGTTCACCCATTTCTGGAACTGCTAATGGTTAAGCAGCACGTTGTCTAACTAAGTGGCTGATCCTAGCAGCTTAGTTAATGAATGCAATCAACTGTGAAAGTTCCCTAGGATGCGCTTTTCTAAATATAATTACTGTGACACAACAATATGTAGAACTTGGATTCAGGATCTAGTTTTTTTTCTTATCAGTGAAGAATAGATTTCTGGTAGCACTAGAATTAGGTCTGAAGCATGATGATTTCTTAAAATGTTTACATCTTTCTTGGGTGAAAATATTTTATGGTATTATTCAACAGATAAGGTACAGCATTATGCTGGTACCTGGAAAAACTAATTAAGCTACATCTTAAATGTACTTCCACTATTTCTGTGAAAAGATCAGAGGAAGTAAAAGGAAGCATACTCATTCTATCTTGAAGATTCTTAGTGAGAGATTTGAACTTGGCTTCATAGTACCCATTTTAAGACTGCATCTAAATTTATGAAGCACATATTAAGTATTTGAAAAAAGATGGCAAAAATAATAAAGTAAGAATGCATAGCGGTTTGAGTGGCCTTTTATTTGCACTATAAAAGTTTACATCTGTATGTATAAAGTATACAGAATGAAAAAATTCACATAGTAACTGTACATTCATCTACAAAAATACTGCCAGTTTGGCTGATGTAATGCAAGAATGTTTTCCATTCTTTATTCTTGAATTTTCTATAATTGAGGTAAAAATAATTAACCGTTGTAAGAACAGAGATGACCACAACACTGTCTACTGTTGAGGTGCAAGACAGAAAGAATAAATTACAATATTGTTGATCTGGAATTTACCATATGTAAGGTGCTTTTAGAATCTCTGAATTTCTAGTTAGAGTTGAAAACTCAGACTTTTCCTTAAGAACGTGTATTACTGCAATTAAGTTTTCTGAATAATGTTGCAGAGGAGACGGGGAGGTAAAACTGGTTTTTATTTTGTCTGGTGTATATAAATGTTGACCACAATCCATTGACTTAATCAATTCAGCAAGCTGCAGAATGTGCCAAATTGCAATATATATATATATTTTTTATCCTGGAATGATAGACAAATCAGTATTACGTAACTGCCCTAGAACTTATTTTTCTTGTCAGTGCTGAGGAAACTAAATGTCTAATCAACAGAAGTATTGGCTGGGCTATCCACTTGCATGCCAAACTCTTCAGACAGCTTCTTCAATCTTTCTTCTAAAAGAATATTTTTTTTTAATTCTTCATTATAGTTGTATTTCAGATCTTCAATTTCTTCAAAAAAGGAAGGATTGAAGTTTTCCAGTTCTTTTCTCAACCTTTTTGTTTCTTCCTATTACAAAGAACAAAGGGGTAACCAAAACTTAGGGAATACTTGTCATCAACAGCTTTTTTGCCTTTTTCTTCAGAGAACATACGTTCTACTACAGACAAATTACTTGGGAAGAGAAAATTCACTAATAAAATCAGCTTTGTAGGTGTGATGGTGAGAAAATGATTTGTTTTAGTGTTATTTGGGATATTAAATAGGTTCTTCTAGCTGACTATAGTTGTGCTCATTATCTTGTCAAAGATCATCTCTGCAACTCACCTTTAGCTGCTCTTTCTCCAACTCAGAGGCTTTCAGCTGTGCCTGGAGGTCAGCTACTTCTGTCATTAACTTATCATTTTTATCCTTCTTTGAAACTTCACTATTTCCTGCAAAAATTATTGACTTGATAGGAAATTTCAGGTAAGTATAATCAATTACATGAATAAATTTGTTACAATAATATTTAGTTGTTTCAACTGTAAAGAGATGCAGTGTGTAAACTCAGTTGTGATCAACAACCACCAAAATTTCAAATCATCTTGGCTATTCTTTGGTTCTTCCACAAATTAGGTAATATTGTTAGGTAATTAGGTAATTCTTGTTATTGAAGGCAGTATTCAAATGTCTAGTCTATTAGCATGTTTCTGAAAAATACACATGCAGTTTCTCTGAATTAGATACAGAAAATTTGGAAAAGAGAGTTTGGGAATCTTATTAATTATATTCATGATTGAAGAATGTGTTGTTTTTGCTTTTTTTTTATTTTTTTTCTTCCTAGTCTTATGGCAGTGTGCTGCTCTACAGCACTCCTTGCTTTTGCTGTGGCTTTTTCTGACAGCTGCTGATCTTAAATCATTCACAGGGCTGGTATCCTGAAATAGACACTTGTTTTCTGGCAGCCTGGAACCCAAGGCAAGAGGAATAAGTAGGAGGGTTTCAATAAATGACTGAAGTCTTATAAGCAGTATTTGAGGTTTATAAAGCATGAAATTTCTTGGAAAGGGAAATCTTGCAAAGATTCCAGCCTCTTCCTCAAAGTAATTTTTACTATAGTTCTTTATAAATATCTTAGGTAAATTCTCAAACATCAGGGACCTTAATTTGCTCCAGTTTATGGCACATTGGCATTAACAGAATGACAGAAATATATGGATTATATTATCATCTTGCACACATACAAAGTAAAAATAGTTTTAGGCCCAAACTACACAAAAATCTTTATTTTAGGTATTAGAAAGGATTACCAGCTGCAGGACCCTCACTTGTGTACGTGTGCATCTGGTGCTTACAGTCTTCTATCTGGCGTACTAGTTCTGCTTTTTCTTCCTTTAATTGACTATTAGTTAATCTGGAATATAAAAGAATTTTAAAATAATTTTAAAAATATTAACATGTTTTGAAATATGTAACACATAATTAAAAATTGCAGTGACTTTTTGTTGATCATTCTCATTTCATATATGTTGGCTGAGGAATACAGTACCTTAAAAGCTGAAGCTCCCTGATGAGGCCTTGCTCTGTCCTTGCACCTTCAGGAAGGTTACTGAGAAGCTCAATCTTGAAAGAAAAGGTAAACAAAAGAACAAACAAAGTCAGTCTTGAGAGCAGTATCCACATCCAATAGTGTATTTCACATGGAGTTAGTTACTTCTTTTTGGCATAGTTTAGTAAAATGAAAGAAAATGTTCAATAAAATGAAAGAATATGTTCAATAAAATGAAAGAATATACTAATGGTGTAACTGAGTACTAGGTGATCACAAAGGGTGGAAGGAAAAAAAAGTAATAACCTACAGCCAGTTTCTGCAAAGTTTCTACTTATCTGCAGTCCTCTTAACGCTAAGCTGCACTGCATACTTCATGAAGGGTGGAAAAAAAGTTTTGAAAAGAATGCTAGGAACATAAGTTGAGACATCAGAATAATGTATAAATATACTTATAAAAGTGATAACACACTAAAGGTACTGACATGTTTGTTTGCATACATAGGTGTCCCAAGTTTCTCTGTGTCATTTGAAATGCAAGTAACTGCAATTAAAACTCAAATTAACGTACACTGACTAGAAATGATCCGTAGTCATAAACTAGAAGCACATAGGTAGTCAGCCTTTCAGTATAAGATACAAGAGCAAAAATTTAAAGTCTTTTAAATTAGATTTTTTTTAAATCATTTATGAATGATCATTTTTTGATCATTTATGAACTCTCATAAGACTACTGTTAGGTATATATTTTGGTTCTATTATTACCTAAAACTCTTTGACAGTAGATCTCTGTGTCTTTGAAATGAAACTAACATTGACCACATCCCTTAATTTGCATTTGAGACAAAACAAACCTGAAATTGTGTTGCCCCAGAGAAATGTCACATAATAAAAGAATTTTCTCTTTAATTTTGCTATTGGTAAGTAGGATCCAGCAGTTCGGGAGAGGCTTGTTCATGTTAATAGTGCTGACTTTAAACCAGAAAGAGAAAAGCAAACATAAACAAAGCTTAAAGTAATTGTTTTTACAAAACTCCATTCCATGTCCTTTTTCTATTTATTGAACACATTTACTTGTTTACATAATGTCTGACTTTTGTGTATTCAGCACTTTACTCTGAGAAGTGCCAGTGTGAGATGTCCAGGGAAGAAAACTATGCACTTCTTAATAAACAAGAAGATGGAAGCTAATCCAGGTTAATCCAGGTACACAGACATAGGCCTTCATCTCTGGCATACTTGAAACTCAAAATCTGATCCATCTTTTCAAGTGTACCTTAGCCAAATTCAGTAACTCTTCCCTGTGTGAAATATATTTGTAAGACTTATTGTAAAGACTGTGTAATATGATGCCATATTGGAAAGAAACACAAAAATCCCCTTTAGGATGGAAAAGTCAGTCCCCCAAAAAGACTTGAAGAAAAAAGAAAGTTCCTGTAGAAAATTACTTTGCTGAACAAGCTAGAATAAAAAAATAGAATAATTAAGACAATATGAAGTATCTGTACTTATATCATCCTTTCAGATGATTAGTGAAACTATAATTAAAATATATAGAGAGGAACACTATTTCCCTTAAGAAGGGGAAGGCATCAATACATACTGATAAGCGGTAAACCTCATTAATCATCAAAAATATCTAAATATACAATTATGGCAACTAAAACTGAAAATAATTAAAAACATAGAGAAAATAAACTGTCAGTATGGACATCAGAAGGAAATTAAAATTAATCAATGTATTCTTAGGCTCATTGAGCTTAGAGTTTTACTCACTTGTTCTTTTAGATCCTGTAATTTTTTATCAGCATTGTGTTCACGTTCTGTTGCCTCCTGAAGCAGCCGTTTAAGGTCAGTAATGCTTTGGGTTTTTTTAGCAATATCCATTTCCAATTCCTTCATCTTTGTTTCATGCATCCTGGTGTTAGGATTATTATGATTATTAATATTTAAAGAGGAAAAGATGAGAGCAAATGCTAATACCTTTACAAAAGATAGAAATGAGGATATTCTCAAAGCAAGCAAGGTGTCGTAAAAGATACCCTAAAATATGTTTGGAGCAGAGGCCTTCAAATAATTACCGATCTTATTAAATAAAGTAAGTGAGCTGAATTAAGCATAATGAAACATTTTAGTATTTTTTTAATTTTAGAATAAAGGTTCTTCCAAATGTTCTACCATTGCTGATCTTATGTGTTTATACTCTAACAAGGAGTTACTGAAATCCTCTATGCTTTTGCATGTATGCACCAGGCTATTTCTTGCTAAACCATGCATGTCTCTTGCTGCATTCAGTTGGATGATGCATTGTTCAGGTCTTACTTTATTGTCTATGATTTAACAATTT